TGTTTGCCCAGGGGCACGTTGGCATTAAACTTCATAAAACCTTCTACAGAACAGAATCATTTTTATTGTCACTGCAAAACGCAGCAGCGCAGGACCAACGTGACGAAGACAGAGAGCCGTCTACAGGGGGCGCCCCTGTGGGCCAGAAAATCTAAAAACTAAATCAATTAAAACCAAGACTTTCACATCAACAACCATCACTAAGACGTTACAACCAAAAGGTTATTTATTTTAAAAATATTTTTTTAATTTTTTTCAAACCTCGACCTGAATCACATTCATAATTCAATGTTGTCTTTTCTATCTTCATGTTCACTGTTCCATCTTTGTCTCAGCAGGTTTCACCCTTGATTTCCAGGTCAGAATCAATAACTTTCAAGGTCCAATCCCTGAACTGCAATGATCAGTTTTGTTGTTATTTGATCTGATCTTTTCTGTCAGTGATTTCTTTTTTTTATTATTTTATTTTACACGTCAAAATGAGTTCAGTTCCTTTTCTGCTCTTCAGTTCCAGCACAGTCACAGAACAGTTCTGACCCAGACCTCGGTCCAAATAAACATCATAAACACTTGGATACAGTACAGTAAACAGCGGTGCAGGCTTTTCAAGGACCGTCTCCAGGAGCCCACCGAGTGCAGCAGTTTTCATTCCCACAGAAACTGAAACAACTACAGCAGCGGATTTCAAATATTTTCGGGCACTTTTTCAAACCTGGCAACCCAACAGTAAAGCCCAGCACTTTCCAGGTTCCTTCCTCACCAGCTGCGCGTCATCAGAACTGATCGCAGTCACATCCTCACACCGAACCGTGTCTGTGCACAAAACGTCAAAAGTTGACGCACAGACGCAACTCTGACTGTAATTCCTGCAACTTATGTTCACTGTAATTAGTTTTCACGCAAATCGACCCGTGCACACGCGTCGGTATCTGCAGATTTATTTGTCCAAATGTCACATTTTTATTCCTGCTCTCCGCCCTGAACCTGAGCATCACGGCAGGTTCCTCCGACTCACTCTGCTTTCATTAGCACATTAATCTGAGTGAGTCGGATTAAGTCAGATTACAGCGGAATAGATGAGAAAAACAGCCAACAACAGTCAAATAAACCGAGGATTTAAAAAAAAAAAATCAAAGTTCAGAAGCGGACAAACCAGCAGCAGATTCTTACCTCCTGACGTGAAGTTTTAATTTGTGTGGGTTCGGAGCAGGACTCTCGGTTCGGTTCGGTTCTGAGGTTTTTGGCCGGTTTTGGATCGGGAGTGTATCCGTTCACTGCGGTGCGCTTCGCCCGTTTGTTCCGCTGCAGCAGCTTCAGTCTCTGCGCTGCTACTGCCCCTACCGCTGCGTGTGCGTGAGAGAGTGCGCGTGTGCGTGAGGATGACAAGCCTCCCATTGGCCGCCATTCAGGACCAAACAGGGAGAAGGAGGGATGAAAAAAGGAAAAACAGCAGTGACACAAACAAAAGGAGGGTGGAGGAAAGGATGGATGAATGGATGGATGGATGGGGGGGGCGTGTCCCCGGGGGGAGGAGGATGAGGAGGAGGGCAGGTGTTCTGGAGGAAGACAAATAGGACAGTGTATAATAATGATGAACTCAGTATAAATCACCGTGATCACAGCAGCGGTCGATGACGTGACGCTGAAAACACGTCACACTTTCGTTTTCTTTTTCTTTTGTCCAAAGTTTTTACTGATATTTAAAACTGACCTCAGGAAACAGTACTGGAACCGAGAACACCTGGTACTCAGTCCAGGAACCTAGTACCAGAAACTTCTGTGGTGCCACCCAAGGAAGTAGTACCGACACCCAGGGACGTCACAAGGAAATGGAACTAACAACAGTACCAAGAACTTTCCATCTGCTTTAAACACTTGAAAAAGGAAACGGTTGTAAAGATGGGTGGGCGGAGCTTACAGCAGAAGGCCGTGTGATTGGTCAGAGAACCTTTGTATCGCTCAGCAATTTTTAAACAAAATGTTTTTAAAAAAAACTGAAAATAAGGCCTAAATTCAGAGCAGTCTGTCTGTGAGCAGCAGCATCAGCATCATCATCATCATCATCATCAGCAGCAGCAGCAGTAACAGCAACAGAAACAGCAGCAGCAGCAACAACAGCAGCAGCATCAGCAGCAGCAACAACAGCAGCAGTAACAGTAACAGCAGCATCATCAGCAGCAGCAACAGTAACAGCAGCAGCAGCAGTGACGACAGCAGCATCAGCAGCAGCAGCAGTAAATAAAGTACTCTACTCTAAGCACTGATCGTTCAGCACAGACCGTGGAGTCGTAGTCAAGGTCAGCGGTTACTCATCTCAGGCCTGATATCTCCTGATCCAAACGGTTGGCTGCATTTCTGCGCCATCGGCAGGAGTTTGACGTTGGTCTGAGAGGACAGGACGGGTCAGGACGGGACGGGACGGGACGGCAGAGTAAAGTGGATGCTTGGAGCGTTTCCAGGGATTAGAGTCACGGAGCCGAGAGCGGCTCTGACACAAACGCTGCATGGGTGGTAGAGCAGGCGCAGCGTGTGGAGGCTGTGGTTTGGAAAAATAAAGAGCTGAAACCATAAATGGCCTCCAGGCTTCTCCTTCCATCTTCGTACGCCTCAGTTTATGTGAGCGAGGTTTTTATTAGACCTGACATATGTTCACGTCTCACTAAATCAGAGTGGGGATCATCAAAGACGGAGCAGTGTGACAGATTACTCCTCTCTAATGTCTAATGTGTTGTCAAATGACATCCAATTCTACCAGAGCAGAGGGGATCGCAGAGACGTGGGGAGAGAAGACGCTGCGTGGTCTTGGTTCCCAGTCAACTCCTGGAACCACAACCATCTGGGACGCGACCCAGTGACACTGCACTTTACTGCAACACCAAGAGCTGGGACGTTTGGGGCTGTGGGATTCAAACCAGCAGTCCAATCACAAGATCCTGATCCTCCAAACACCAGGAGGCAGGCTGCCTGGCTCAAGAGTTCTGACCTTTCACAGCTCCACAGACTAATGTTTCCTTCTGAAATATAAACTTCTCTCTTTGTTCTTATAGAATTCTGACATTTTTTGGTCTTTATCTCGGAGTGAAACCCGAATTTGGGCTAATTTGTGGAGATTAAGATTTGTTCCTCAGGATTATCTGGATGTGACATCCTTTTTATTTATTTTTTTAAACTTTTTTTTAACGGTTTTACTTCTTTCCCTCAGGAACCTGATGTTAAAGCTGTGGTTTATCGTTCATAGACCAAGGTACATAGACATTATTTACTCTGGCCACTAGGGGCAGCAGTTGACCAGGCGCTGCTGTTAAAATCCTACATTTGCCCACTGGAGTTTGGTGCAGGACAGAACATTCTCCAGGATTCTCTAATGTTTGATTTAAAAAAACCATTATCCTGGGAGAAAACAATTGGAACCAATCGTTGGACTTGTATCAGCTCAGGTTTAATGGAGCTCAGATCCAACATCATGGAATCAGGATCTAATATTTTCATTTAGGTTCAAAGCACAATTATCTTGTTATCTTTAAAATCATGCTTTGTTTACCAGCGATTGTAATTAAATGATCTGATCGTGGTGACACAGCGGTGCATCCATGACTTCAGGACTTAATTATGGGACTTGTTTACTGCTGCTGCTGTGTAATCCTGTTTGTCCCTTCTCTACAGGAAAGGAAAAAAAATCAGTTTAAGGCTCAGACAAATGTCACATCTCTGTTTAACACGGAGAAAAAAAAAAAAAACAGTTCCGCTGTTAAATTTATCCTGCATCCTGTGGCGTTCACTGTCCTATTTAAACAGCCGAGAAGAACAAATCATATTTAGCTGAAACCAAACAAACACAGAGTTACTTTTCTCCTCACTGGTGTCGGCCTCGGGGCCCGGAGTTCTGTCTTTAAAAAAGGACGGATTTCTTTACCCGGAGAATCAGGCCTTTTATATATATACACACACACATATATATTTATATATATGTGTGTGTGTGTGTGTGTGTGTTGAACTGTTGTCTGACTTTAAAACAGTTGGTGGTGAAATTCTGTTGATGTTTTTCAACTTTTTTTAAACCATTACTGACTCCTTCACTCCAACTTTCCTCACTGACTTTTCTCTACAGGTGACACGGTGGTGCAGTGGTTACAGCACTCACCGGTGAGAGTTGGTACTAGTTTTAGTTCCTGGTGCTCTCACTGTATGTCAGTGTGAATGTCAGTGTGAATGTCAGTGTGAATGTCGGTGTGAATGTCCAGTGATCTGATTTGACTCAACATTGTTATTGTTCTTCTCGGTGAACTTTGGCGCGGTGGCGTGGGCGGGCGGTTGTCTCACCCGGGGCAGGAGGTTGAACCTGCAGATAAAGACTGTTGTGTTTAAATGTTTCTCTCCTGATTCACCGTCTGCTGCTGAGTTCACAGCCCGGCCTGAGGATGAAGCAGATCCGCCCACAGCTGGACTACACACACACACACACACATCTCCTCCAGCAGCAGCTCCACGGCGGGGCTCGACACCGACTTGTTGACCGACCGTACTACGTGGTGTCAAACCCGTGGCGCCCCGCTCTACTGTACATTCAACCCCCGAACAGCAACGCAACGGAGGCGCAGAGAAGCTGCCGTGGAGATCATGTCAGTGGATACAGGAGTGGATTACAGTGAATCTGCAGGTCACGGCAGGTCACGGCAGGTCACGGCAGGTCAGAGGATGAAGCATTTATCAGCTGCATTAGTTTGATTGCTATAAAAACCAGCAGCGTTTACAGGGCGGCTCAGTAATCTGATTACTCTCCAACAAACCTCCTCCACTGCCAAAAAACAAAAACAGGATTCTGACTTCGTTAGCAGCTGTAAAAATCCACAGAGGACAAACATCTGCCCAATACTACAGTGAAGTAACCAATACTACAGTGAAGTAACCAATACTACAGTGAAGCCAATACTACAGTGATACAGTGAAGTAACCAATACTACCGTGAAGTAACCAATACTACAGTGAAGTAACCGATACTACAGTGAAGTAACCAACCAATAAATGTCAACGTTGTGAATATTTTTCCGTCTTTGTGGAGTTCCAGCTCCAGGCAACGACAGTCGGAGAAACATTTACTCTGACCAATCAAAATGATTTAGTTTTTATTAAAGTCCAATCAGGAGCCGGTGCTGAATTCATCAACTAAGTCTGGAAATAAACAATGTGGAAAAAATAGAAACAGAAAGAAAAAAAATCATGCAACTGTTGCTGACACTGTCTTCACCCTGTTGAACAAGTCATTATCAGAACACAGTTATTAACAGCAGCAGCAGCAGCAGCAGCAGCGGGCGGTAAATACTACACCATACTCCACACCCACACACACACACACCCACCCTCCCTGTGGTGGCAGTGCCGGCTGCCGGTGCATCTATCCGTTCACCTCACACAGAGGAACACAAATTTAATTAACTACTGTAATCACATGTGATCTATGGCTGACAGGGTTTATGGAGCGGAGGGAGGAGGGGGAGCGGGGGGAGGAGGGGGAGGAAACGGAGGAGAATCAACTGCTGAAAACTCAGCAGGTATTGATTGAAGTAAGCCCACACTTGACCTTTGACCCTGCGACTGATAATCAGTGGAAAAATAAAACAAAAGGAAACTGGAACAGCTGCAGGATATCCATACATACATCCAACCATCCATCCATCCATCTGTACATCCATCTGTCTATCCATCTATCCATACATACATCCAACCATCCATCCATCCATCTGTACATCCATCCATCCATCCCTTGAGCTCCGTCTGATTTTCTAAGTCAAACTCATCCTGAAACCTCAGACAACAACAAACTCAGACTCAACCCCAGGTGTCGTGTCTAATTTCGTCGCCCACAGATCTCGTGGTCCAGATCATTTGACTCTTGTCTCAGACTGTATTAAATATTGGTCGAAGCTACAAAGAGTTTCTGTTTGTATTAAATGTCAAAATCGAAAAGAAGAGAAGAAAAATAGCAATGATATTCAGGAGGATTTTGGAATGTGGCTGAACAGAACGCAGCCCCCGCTCCTGATGTTTGTCTTAAACAAAGGTTGGGATATTCATCCTGATGCAGCGTGTGTTACTTTAGAGGAAACTGACATTTGTGGGCCACAGAGTGAGACAGGGGTCGACCTCTGAACAAATCTGTTCGCCCATTAATCCTGACAGCTCAGCCTCGGCAGGAAGTGTCAGAGCGTCAGAGACGCCGCTCGTTCACAACCAACCTTATTTGTTAGTGAAACTCCTCACGTCTGTGTTTACTCACGTCCATATTTCACGGCCCCGGGTCTCACCTTGTCAGAATCTGTGTGAAAATGACAGGAGAAATGAAGGACGATGAGTGGACGACCATCAGGATGTCTGGAGGAAAACTGAATCTCTCTGACATTTGGCCCACTCCTCCTGGTATCCACCACAACCTCCGTGCAGCCCGCACGTTACTTCTGTCTGTTCTCTCTCCCTCTACACAATCAGTGGGTGTACGTTCTCAAAAAGTGGGTCACAAACATAAAGTCCTACTTTGATATGACTCAGAAGTTTCATGAAACAGTAAAGTTCACAAGAGTCAAGAAAAAATCTCTCTCACTCTTTTGCTGTCCGGATAGTGGGCCACATATTTGGGAAACATTTAACATTGAATTAATTTGGTATCAGTAATGTTGCACAGTATGGGCCACATA